TCCCGTGTGAACGCAAACCGAACCTTCTGAAAAATGAAACAATGTAACAAACTGTGGTCTGGTGCGCACCACAGAGCGGACTATTAGGTGTGAATGAGACCTTAGTGTTTTAGATCAGTCAGGACTCTGAAGCTGACTAACTCATAGAACAAACAATTATTTTAAATTGGATCTAAAACGGTTGGACTGTGTTCATCCCTACAGGATCAGAGATGTTGAGACGATCAGAGCCAAGATCCAGAAGACCTGTGAGTACTGAAACTACATCCTCCTTTCACTTCCACCTAACAGCACCTCCCTTCTTGTTCACACTCCGGTCACTTCACACATCGACTACTGCAACTCTCTTCTCTTTGGTCTCCCTCTCAAGTCCATCCACAAACTTCAACTGGTCCAAAACTCTGCCGCCCGCATCATCCCCAGAACCCCCTCCATTAACCACATCAGTCCTGTTCTTCAGCAACTTCACTGGCTGCCTGTCAAATACTGTTTAGAGTATAAGATTCTGCTACTCACCTTTAAGGCTATCCACAACCTCACTCCTCTGATCCTAAATGAGCATGTCCTCATAGAACAACCACAATACTAAAATCATTTTTTATACATTATTAACTAAAAACTCAATTACAGGGATTGTTGAGAGGCGGACATAGAGACCAACTCACTGAGGAGCTGGCTGGATGTGGGTGTAGTGGGTTGGTCTTAAGGTACGGACGCACCAACCCGATTATCGGCGTTGGTGGGCGTCAGGCCGACGATGAGCGTCGACACGCCCTACTCGGATTGGTGTGTCCTGCACCGTCGGGTCTTTTCAGCCGAGCCCACGCCTTTTTGGTCGGCCAAAGGTAGTCGGCGAAAAGAAATCACTCTGATTGGCTGTTCAGTTAACGAATCAGTGCATGAGAAGCTAAACGGAAGTGAGGGACCCAAACAAACGATTAAGAAGGCAAATCTAAGATTTCATTTAACTCCAACTCCAGAAGGCAACGGAGGGAAGATTTTATTTTATTCCCGGGCTGATTGTTAGTCCCAGTCCGCCACTGAACGTAACTATTATGTAAGGTATATATATACTAACTGTGTCACAGCCCAGTCACAGTAGAATTTAACTCCACTTTGACTCCTAGAAAAATAACAAAAAATGCCTCATAACATTTGGTATATTGTAACTCCACAACAAAACAATATACCTAAAGCACATCCCTCCTTCCTCTCTGATTTCACTGAACTCCTCACACTCGCTTCATCCCTCAGACACACCAAATCATGGCACCACGATCTCAAAGAACTGGCTTCCCGTCTCCCACTGCATCTGCTACAAAATACTGGTCCTCCCAAACAAAGCCCCTCCACCATCTGCCTTTTTTTAAACTAGGGAGTACTACCAGGATTACAATGTGACGATGCATTTCAAAATGAACAACGATATGTTACGAGGTTCATGCGTGAACAGTACAACACTTGTGAAACTCCAGGATAGAGAAATGTTTACATAATTCAGAGGTGATAGTGTGGACACAGATTCAGGGTTTTTTACAGTTAATTTTTATTTTAAAGAAATATCATATACCTCAAACCACATTTTTTACTTTTTTATCAAGAATTAAAACAATATAATATCACTATTAAAAACACAATTGTGTATATGATAAACATTTAAACTAAAATATGAAGCTACATTTTTTTTATTTAATTGTTTATAACTTTATATATTTCTACCGCTGATGTGAACTTGTTTGTGTACAAAATATATGATGTCCATATTCTTGAAAACAAACTAACAAGTGAAGCGACGGGAGCTAATCTTCCGGAGGTTCCAAGAACGCTTTCACCGGGGAACATTTCAAAATGAAATCTCACAGAGGAGAAACAGCATCACCGGTCAGAGCAAGCTTCACCTGCCAGCTGTCAAATACTCTCTTTATCCGAGGGGTCTCTATTGGAACGTTTTAAATAAATTAAAGACCTATCTTATTAATTTGGCTTTTCATTTTAGTGGTATCACTTTTCATGTTTTATTGTTTAGTGGTTCTCTGATCTAACTTTTTCTGTTTTCTTTTTTTTAATGATGTTCCTCACTCTTTATTGTTGTGTTGTCTTCTCTTTTATGTTACAAGAATACATTAGTAAAAGCAATTGGTATTTATTGTCTATTGTCTTTGTTGGCATACTGATAACGATTTTCTCTCTACTGCCTGCAGTGCACCGATGATCCACCAGAGGGCAGAAGACCTGTGTCAGATTGAATACAACAGGATTTCCAGGAAAGGACTGGTCCTTTTGATGACGTAGAGGTCTCAGAAAACTCATGTTGCAAATATGATCAACAAAAGGAACCAGAAAAAACTGCTTCAATCTTTTTATATACATTTGGACTTTTGGACTTCACAATGCTCTGGAGTAATTGGAAATGTTCAAGGCAGAAACATTCCTACGTTTATTGAATTTCTAAATGGCCAGACAGTGTAATGTATTATGAGGATTTGAACCAGTGGTTCACATCTTGACTCTTGCAGGCCAGA